TTTTTTTTCTTGGAATAGCCCATATTTATAATCATAGGTGCCCTAAATCTATCGTTAGCATTATTACCCTTACTCTCTTATTAGTTAGAGGGTATAACAGGTCTTTTACCTAATCCTCCAGCGATTAAACTAACTACCCCTCAAATACAAATAACTGAATGGACAGAAATATGATGGAAAGTCGTGACTGTTGAATCTTGCACTTTCCATGATATAACTAAACTTTGACTCTAGATGATGGTTGCCTAAGTCTTATCTGATTCTTTTGGTAGGCTGACTCAACCAATTGTATATGTCCGATGGGTTTGCTGGTCAGTTAGGCAGATGCCTCTGTTGGTCGGTCGTTTAAACTCGATTTAAGTCCTCCGAATGAAGTTCCAATCGATAGTAGGGACTTTCTTTTGAATCATTTGATTCCATTAAGATTCATGTTGATACATTTCACTGTGTACATATTAGTTCTTTGATTTTTTTTTTTTTTTTGATTCTTGTTAGCTATATTAAGGAAAAGAAAATCATTAAAATAATAAATATATTTAAAACACAATGATAACTTTCTCATATTTAGTGCCCAAAAAGTCTGGGGTCAGTAGAGTCTTCACTCCTCACTCAGGCATTGAATCTAAAATGCCATCATGCCAACCGCAAGAGCACTGGATTGCTTGACCTATGATGCACTTTGGATGACCCTCGAAGAGTTTCAGCTACCCCGTCAGCCTGTTCCCCTTCCTGAGAGCGAAAAGACGAAGAAGAAAATAGTGGTTTTGAAGAAGAAGTGCACGGAGCTCGTTGTCGATTTAAACAATCAAGTGGCTTCTTCCACCGGCCCTAAAGCCTGTCGACCATAAAAAATCTCCAGAGTAGAAAAAGATCATCAGAAATCTCCGGCTCCTATTGTGAATGTTGTCCCAATCGTTGAGAAAGAAATTTGCCGGGTTGATCCTATCACCAATAAGCGGTCGGTGCCCTTGAATAACTCGTAATGACAATAATCACAAATGCTCCACCTTCGCCTGATGTTCAGAAAGACAATGTTCTCACCGGCGATTTGGCCACCACAAGCTCTAAATTGGGTAGGTTGCTGGGTATAGTTGACTGGTTTCTTTTTGTATAAATTTATCCTTTTTTTAATATCATACTTTGATGTAGGTTTAGATGCTACTTTTCTGATTAGTGAGAATGTCTAATGGATTGATGTTGCTGCTGATTTTGGTTCAATCCCAAAGACAGCGGTTCAACACTCGACCTGGGAGAGTGATCAACTGATTGGTGATGTTGATAATCATTTAGCCAATCTTTTCACTGCTTCTCAAGGGATGGAAAACGGCTAGTAACAATCTTCTGGGTCGTTGAAGCGCAGGGTGAATGAAATGGTGGAATCCTTTGAGCAAGCAGCAAGAGGATCAACTAGTATAGGCATTACTTGTTAGATATGAAAATACAGGAGTTTAAGTGGTATGTATCTTCCAAAAATATTGTAAACGATGGTTGTAACTGATGATAGATAGGGAAGGCAGCTTGGGGCAATGACAGTAGACCAGCTGTAGTGGCAAAACGCTTGTAATGTATTTAAAACGACCAACTTTATATTACATCAAAAAACATTTTAAGGGGCGAATTTCAAATTCCCTAAGATTTTACTTCGAACTTAACTTTCATCAAACCAAATGCCAACATTTGTAAAACCTCATCTTGAAATATTTTACATACAAACACATAATGCACCATAAAATATCATAAATTGATCAATCAAAATTGTTCAAAAGGCTATAGTTTAAAGGGGCATTCGCATACATATCAACCATGTACTACCTATTTAGATAGCTAACTAAGCTTCATGTTTTTACATTTATATCACCCATATCATTCATATCAGATCAAAAATACCACCACCTTAAACTTTTAAAAAGTAAAATACACGAATTTATGCATAGGAGAGGTGGCATGTATTAAAAAATTTAAATTTAGGTGTTGGATATGTAAATGCATAGGAATTGAGGGGTATGCATGTAAATCTTCCTAGTTTAAATGAGATGTTATAAGGCAGGTAATTCAGAGTTGGACATAAGTAGGTTACTTTCTTCTCCATACAAGTCTTGCAACTTGAGAAAGTATGGTGCAGCGTCAGACCAGAAAAATCCCAAATGAGCGAAAACAAAGAAGAATTATCAGGTGAATAACCAGAATTCTGAAGAAGCTGCTATGCAAGGTTACAACTTACAACCTACTATTTCACCACAACCACAAGGAAAATGTGTCTTTCCACACCGAAATAATTAAAATTATAAACCAGTCAGCACACATAAACAAGTATCATGTAAAATAAGAACAAGCAATAAAGGTAATTGAAATGGGTGTAATTAGGCTGAAAGGAGTTCGACCTGTTAAGCGATTTACCATGGAATTATAAGCAAATTCTACCTTAGTACTTCATCCCACCTCTTGAGTTGCTCTACTTGCTAAATACCGAATCATATTACCAAGAGTTTGATTAGTAACTTCAGTTTGGTCAATGGTCCGCGAATGATAGGGTGAGGTTAACTTACGATTGGTTTGAAATTGCTCCCACAATTCACGCCAAAAGTAACTTAAAAATTAGATATCTCAATAGGAGGTCAAGCTTCAACCTAATAATGTCCTTAAAAGAAAATTCAAGCCACAATAATGGCGTCAAACGTCTTCTTACATGCAGTGAAATTAGTCATTTTAGAAAAAAGATTCACGACAACCATGATAAAACCAACTCTTGTGCTTGGCATGAGGTAAACCCAATATAAAATCAATGCGTCGATCTTTCCTAATGGATTGTGGAATAGGTAGACGGCTATATAGGCCTTATTTTGGAGAAACCTTTAAAATTCTAACAAGTGTGATATTTCTCCACAAACCTACTCACAAATTGTGCTTGTAAAGATAATAGTTTTATCTCGTCCTGGATGAGAAGCTAGTCCCATGCCATATAGCCATAATTGAATATAATTAAAGGGATGAGTTCAAATGGTTACCTTTGAACAAATACCCTTGTTGTATTGAATAATCATCTATAGACTGGTAAGCTTTACAGCGTTTCCATGGCTCGGCAAAGTCAGAATCAACATCATACAGTTCCTTGATTGATTCCATACCAAATGTAGTTGTTTGAAGTGAAATTAACATGCCAGCCCTCCAACTCAAGGCATCAACCGCCCTATTGGATGTTCCAGACTTACTTTTCAACACAACAGTAAATCTCTATAAAAATGCTACCCATCTTAAATGCATTCAGTTCAGAATCTTTTGAGTTTGCAAAAATTGCAGTGACTTGTGATCTCTAAATAACGCAAATTCCTTGTGAAGAAGAAAGGATTCCCAATGTGTTAAGGCTCTTACCACAGCATACAATTCTTGTCTGTAAGTTGACAACTTTTGACGAGAATTGCATAATTTTTTGTTGAAATACTCAATAAGTATAGTGTCTTGAGAGAGAACAACTTGGATTCCAATTGCAGAAGCATCAACCTCCATTAGAAACAGCTTGCAGAAATCTGGGACACAGAGTAGAGGAGCTGAACAAAGTTTTTCTTTAATTGAATCAAAACACCGGTTGGCCCCCCAAGTAAAGATCTTTAGTTTAAGAGCATTTGTAATTGGTCCCATAATTTCACTGAAACTCTTCATAAACAGACAGTAAAAATTATTCAGTCTGTGAAAGCCTCGAGTCTCTATAATAATTGTAGGGATTATCCAAGATTTAATGACATCTATTTTCTAGGGATCAAGGTGAACGCCTTACTTCCTTGTAGTAAACAACACAGCATTGACCTAAAAATGCTTTGAGCACATCGTTGATAAGTCTTATAAAAAGTGTTGGGTGCATTACACAGCCCAAGAGGCATCACACACCATTCATATAAATCTCCCTTAGTTTTGAAGGTTCGTCTCCCGAACAAATGCAAAACTGAAGATATCCATATTTCAAGTCTAATTTAAAGAAAATAGTTGCACCAAATAATCGGCCTAGAAGGACTTCAAATTGTGGCATAGAGAATCGGTATTTCACTGTGATTTTGTTATTTGGAAGGCTATCCACATACACACACAATCCTCCGTCTTTTTTCGGCACAAGCAATGTCGGTACCACACAGACGTACTTAAGCTAAGATGAATGCATACCTTGTGTAAAAAATCATCAATAATTTCCTGCAATATTGTTTGTTATTTTGAGCCTAATGGTAATAAGGCAAGCTGGGTAACACAGCACCTGGCAATAAATTAATAATTCCCTGCAATATACATTGCTTCGGCCTCCATACCAAACACCAATACCAAATTGTCATGATCTTCCTCTTATATGACATACATCTATGTCGATGACATCACAAAAATTTCACACCAATATTGTTATCCTATAGGAAAGGAGATCAGAGAACTCATTCACAGTTACTATAATGTTTTTGGTGCAACAATTATCAACAAGTCCTGCATCTGGTGCAAAATATACTACGTCTCTGTAATGTAGTTACACACTTGGGAGCTCATAAGATTTTTTCCAAAATATATGAAAGAAAATCACATTCATCACCAGCAACATCCTCACAATCTTTAGTTGAAGGCAACAAAAGGGGGTTGGGGCTTTCAACCAATTGTTGCTCTCCTTCTCACAACCGCGATTGACGCCAATTAGGACATTCATTCGACCGCTGGCCTTGCTGTAAACAACAAAAACATATGAAGGTGCCCAAGTATAAGCTGTCTTTGGAGTAATTAGGCTTAGCCAGAACCTTCCCATCAGCAATGGAAGGGCCTGCGGGCTGTTAAACTTGAGGGGTGTTCAATTTCTCATTGGGTAAGTCAATGGATTGTTCTCCACTACATCATCTCAAAGTATTAGTTTTGGGGGTTTAGGCTAATTAAATTTCAACTTTATAGGTGAAGTTAATGGCGTGAGAAAGTGACCAAATAGCATTCATTTCTAGCTTGTCTTGAATGGAATACCTAAGGCCTCCAATGCATCTAGCCACCAACTACTAATCTATTTTAATCAGGTTATTGTGAGCACTTGAGTGATAAAACTCCACTTTATATGCATTGATTGTTCGGTAATCCCAAGCAATCAGAATCAGGTATTAGTATCCACCATTGGGTGTTACTATATTCACTGGATACAGGGTTATCAGGCCCGCCTGTTAACTACGGCCTTCGGGTAAGCCATAGGCCTCAAGCTTGCACAAGAGTATCTCTCAGAACATGTGCAGTAGCCATGCTTACTGATGTTGTTGCCGGTGGATAATTGTCGTGTTCCAAATAACACACGGCTCCACCATCATCTCACACACGATCTTTCAAAACTCAGTGATAAGGGAATCTAATCGTCATTCAAAATTGGATTTGAGCTCATGCATACCTTCCCAACTGCAATCGTATTCGCCAATGGGTTCTCTTACCACCACCAGCCATTCAGCTTTGATACCAATTTGGCGCAGCTGCAGAGCAAAAAAAAAACCCAGACTAGGGAAAACAGAGAAAGGATTTATCAAGTGAATAACCAGAAATCTGAAAAAAAAACAGCTATGCACAATTACAACTTACTATTTCACCACTACTACAGGGAAAAGATGTCTTTATACACAGGAATAACTAAAATAACAAAATTAGTCTTCACACATAGGCAACAACTCAGGCAAAATAAGGAATAACTAAAATTACTAGAGTAGTCATCACACATAAGCAAGAACTTAGGTAAAATAAGGAATAACAGTAAAGGTAATTGATATGGGTGTAATATGGAGAACGCTGCATCAGATTGAAGAAATTATCTGCAGTCCAATAAGTAAGAAGACAGATAAGTCCAACTTCAACAAACCCCAAAGTCTCCACAAAAACTCCACTCATTGTTAGAGGGCTTGCTCATATTCCTGAAGCCTAGCCTTTCTTTCATCCTCTTAAACCTTTGATTTCTATTTCTCCTTTGTGTTCTAGTCAGTCGAGCAGTCTTGGATGAGGAGCCCATTTTGAAAGCATATGGATTCAAAGATGATTCAGATTCAACTTCCTTCTTTTCAGCATCAATAATTACCGGCTCTTCAGTTTTAGACGACTTTTCAGTTTTAGATGGCAACGCAAATTCGATGATTGGCTTCATGTTGGCTACGACCTCGTCGTCGACAACGGTGAGGGCAGCACCGTTGCAAGTTATGTTAACATCGTTAATTCCCTCACCAAATTTAATAAGGGCGCCGTCAACAAGATCGGCTTCATCTAGGGCAAAGTGGAGGTGGGTTCCGATCGATATGAATAGCTTTTTGGATGACATCTTTCTGAAATCAAGATTACTACCATAATATCAGTAATTAATCAAACTTAAATACTTAGGTGATACAAACCTAAACGAAAAGGGTATTGAATCCCTCAGTTTATCCCATTTTTATCAGCAAAAAATAATCAGTGGAAAGATTTGTTCTAAAGAAAATAATAACTTCGCAGTGGGTTGTTCGGATCGGCAGCATTCTTCGGAGATGAGCTCAAGCGAATAGTAAACCGAATAGGGGCGTTTTCGGCCGCTGTTTCGTGCCAATCAAAAACGGGAGATGGAGATGGGGATGTGCGAATGAGTTGAGTTGGGTGTTTACCGGCGGCTGCTGGAGCGGCTGCTGGGGCGGCGTGCGCCAAGGATGTCGAAAGAAGAACCAGAGAGGGGGTGCTTTCGGCGGAGCACGCTTGGGAAATTTCAGGAAGTTTCGTGACCTAGGATGGACGGCTGAGATTTGAGGCGGGAATGGAGCTTACAAAATTAGAATTTGACCTCAAGACATTTCCCTCGTGAGAGGGAGAAATGTTGCGTCCGCACATTCAACCACTAACCGTCACATCGCTATACACTCTATCGACGGATCGACGGGCGACGAACTGGTGATTAGTCGTCTGAACGTTCGAACATAATATTTTTGCCATGCGTTGGGGGTAGTGCTATGCATGCACAGCTTTGGTTAGATAGGTGGCTAACATGGGAAAACACCTTAGACCACCAAAAGTCCAAAATAGCCCCCAAGCTCGGTTGTGGGGGCCAATTGAAATCTAAGCAGATCTCCATGGTTTGGACCCATGGTTGACCCAAATTGCACTCTCCCCCTTTTCATTTAAATTCAACACATCTGCCCTTGCTCCAACCCAATTAGCTTCATCACTCTCCACCACTGACCTCTCACAGTCAGAAAATAACCTGCCATACTTTGCCAGCCACCATGACCAACGGCAAGCTCGAAATCGAGAACCACCAAAAGGGGGTAAATCCAAAATTGAGCCCATCTAATGTGGCTCACCCCCATTGGACCTTTGCCCCTACCATCTCTCCATGTAAGCACCACCTACCACCTCAATCTTTGGCCACTAGAAGCTCTATGGCTGAGCTTATAAACAAACCACCTCACAACCAAAAATGGAGAAGTGCTAAGAACTTGGCAAAGCTCTGCCAAATTGACTCCACATTGTCCTCACAGCCTTGTGAAGTTCATCCCCACAATTCCTAAGCCTTCTCACTGCCCCCATAACCCTAATTTTGCCTCTGAAATCTAGGACTCTTCATGATCGTGACGCAAAGTGCTTCGAAACTCTGAATTGATCCTTCTAAAAGCTTCCACATAGCCTAAGAACACTTCCCCAATCAGAATCCCCTTCCCCCGCAACCTCTAACTCAGTGTCAGACCAAACTCTATCCACCACTTGGTCTAAATCATACCAAGGCTCAACCTCAGTGAAAATTGGAGATAGAAGGAGGTGTGTTGCATCCACACGAAGCTTCTCAACCATTCCAATTGAGGCCTCACAACTTGGACAAAGGTATAAAGTCAAAATCCCTAATTTTGCCCTTTTTGAAACTTTGTGAAGAGACTCAACAATTCATGTCCACATAACTGTAGAGATATGTTCATCTTGCCTAGATGAATGTATAGGAACAACTCCGTATAATTTGGTCAAGAATTGAGCGAGATCATAAGCTTAGGGTGTGGATAGTTCTCTGGTTATAGTCCCGTGGAGACGATAAATGGATGTTGTCCATTCTCGTGCATTTGAAACGAACTGAGAGGAATGGGTCAGATGAGGCAATTGTCAGACTCAGAACACTACAAGGCGGGTCGAGTAAGCGGCTGAGGTGTAAAGGCCAACGAATGGGAGCGTGTCGTATGGGCTTTTACAGGTTTGAGGATGATGCGGCGCTGACATGCTTATGTAGGAAATTTGGGTATTATTGGATTAAATAAATCCATAAAATGTAAACTGACTTCAAAAATTCATATTTTAGCAAGAAAAAATCATAGAAATAAAATAAAAATACCTCTCAATTCAGTGAATTGAGCAGGAATTAATAAAAAATAAATTAAAATATTTTGTAAATATTAAATTTTTAATTAATTTAATACTCAAAATGATATTTTAATTATTTAAAATTAATTATAAATCATCATGGCATGAAAATTTTAGGGGTTATTTCCCATGTGATTAGGAAGATCTTTTGATTTTTCAAAAGTTAGAGGGCCTCTATAACATTAAAAACCCTAATTTTTCATGATATTTACCATTATTTTTGTTAAAATAATTATAAAAAATAAAATATAAATATAAAATGAAAAGTTAAATGTGTCAAGTCAAGGGAGAATAGGGGCACTTATGAAAAACAAATATGAAATATAAAATTTAAAAATATATTTTCTATGTATTTTTATATTTAAAATTATTAAAAATTAAAAAAAAATTAAATACAATTTAAAATGACATGAAATCTTCTTTCGATGATTTTCTTAATATGAACCGTCTTATACAAAATTTTCAAAAAAAAAAAAAAAAGAAGCATATTTTAACTAATTAAATAATTTTTCTATTGAAATGTCATAATTTTTTATTTGAATAATTACAGAAAATAAAATAAACTTTAGAAAATTAAGAAATTTCTCTGAAACATTAATTAGTCTATGTGTGGGTGAATGACTAACAAAATTTAGTGACAAATGAAATTATGAGGGCATAGTTTGCAAGTTGCCTATCATAGGGGTGTATTTGTAAATTTTATATTTACATTTTAGTCTCTTAATTAATTAAAAATAGGTCACATCAGAGGGTAAATGGGCAGCAATTATGATTGATTGTTTACTGAAATGTTTGAAACATTAAGGGTCAATTAGGGTGGTCGTCAAGTTACTTAAAAAACATATGCAGGAGTAAATTGTAAATTTGTGAATTGTTGAGGATTAAAAGAACACCCATGATTGGATGACCGAGTAGTAGGAATTATGTTTTGGAAGTATCCAATTCTCTGATTTGAGTTGTTTACCACAAGTTGGAAAGATTTATGTGAACACATGAAGAAGGATTAACATGTCATAAATTACAAATTTACCCTCAAATCCCTAAGAGAACCATGATGAGCCATCTTCCACTCAAGCTGTCATGATTTAAAATGAAAGTCCTTAAGTAAGGTATGAAAAACTAAATACTCTAAAATTTTCAAGTTTTAACCTAGTTTAGGAGTATATTCCAAATATTTTTAAAATTACAAAAATACCCCAAATGGCATTCCACTTATTTAAAGATTAAGAATATGAACTATGAAGACTAATTCATTGAAATCAATTGTTAGTCAACATGATAAGAGTTCCTAAAACACATTGATGAGTCAATAAGAGATGACTCAATTGGCAAGGTGCATATTGTACCCCTCTCAGTACTGCTTGAGCAACTTTCTTCGTAGAATTTCAATTTGAGCTAAGTTCTCATTCATAGACTAATTAAATCATAGGGAGTAAAAATATTTAAAAATTATTTTAAACAATTAATATTTTTTATTATTTTCTATACTTTTAAAAATGACCGATAAACTCAATAATTCACAGAAAGTTTAAATGAATGTGAAATGACTTAAAAAATTATGGGATTGTTTAGGACTACGTTCTGAATGACCCAGTAAATATCAACACATTTCGGAGGACATTTAAACTTATTTGAGAATTTATGAAGAAAATCAGCCTTAAAGTGTAAGATAATATATATACTAGAAAGAAAAAATGATAAAAATTAAATGAAACACTAGATTTCAAAAAATCACCCAATGCATCATAACCTAAAATGAAATCCAATACTCAAGGGTTTCGGCTTTAAATATTGTGCCTAAACTCTCTTTGCTAATTGAGACATTTAAATCGTGGTAATTTATATGAAATATTGGGTTGGCTCATAGGTTGGAGGTGTTAGTGATATCGGCGATGATGAAAAAGGCATCTGGTGCTAAATTCGGGATGGCGGGATAGGATTGTATCTCTTAACCCGATGACCCAATAAGGGTGTAGGATTGACACTACTATTCATCGATATTTTGTGAGAAGTTTCCCTTACTTTCTTAGGCTGCTGGTGGCTCTAGCCCAACAATGTGATCGACTTGTGGACCATCTAGTTAATAAAAATACATAATAATATAACTAAATTTGTTATTGTGATGCTAAATTTTGACTATTTATGACTCTGGTCAAAGATTAATTACCTACATGCATGATAATTTAAGAATTTTGGGTGATATCTTATGTATGTCCACTTGTCAGTCACCTTGTTTAGGCTAAGGGTTGCCTTGCCATGATTGTCTTGTCGGTAGCTTCTTCACAATATTAGGCTTTATACACACAGATGCTGATGGTTGCCTATGGATGTTCTGAGGCTGAACCCACTCCTAACTCATGAATACCTATGTTCAGCCCTTTCATATATGACCCCATGCACACTTACACCTGTGTTTTAACATATGTCACATCTAATTCTCACAACACTCTAGATTTGTTTAGTTTCCCATATATTTGTGTACTTACACATATAACTTTAAACTCTTCAAAATGACATCAGAGACGATAGTTACACGCTACTATTTTCACTTTTGTCACACTTGATTATGAATGCTTTATTTAAAAGTAAAACAATTTTATTTTTCTTACTTTCTGCACTGTTGACATGTGAAATGAAGCCTTAGGATAGAGGATGTAGGACATACGTTTAGGTGAAAACCCTATGACACTCGGTCAGCACAATAACCCATGGTTAAATAATAAAAAATAATTATCAACCTGTATGCACCTCCTATAATCACGACACTAAAATAAAAAACCTAGGATATGTCTTTTGAGGCATATTTTCTCTCTCTTATTTTCTATTCACATAACAAGGCAATCGAGCGGTGGACAACTTTTAGGCGACGATCAAGAAAAAGCATGAAGTAAAGGATGATCCTCAACTAAACTTTTCATAGTCTTAAACAAAATGAATCCTTAGGACTTCGAGGTTGTTCATCTAGCATGACAAATCCTCACACTATCTCTTAAGTTTTCACATGATTGTGTGTCGTGCGATGTAAGCCCCAACTATTGTTAGGATTTTGAGATTGTTTGTTTGGTATGACATAAATCCTCCTATCTTATTAGGTTGTGTGTGTTGATTGTATGTCGCACGATGTAAGTCCTAGATCTAAAATAAAATGATAGTAGTAAACATCAAATAATAATATTTCTAAAATGTAAAGTCAAATAATAGGATAGTTTGAGAAGTCATTGAGATTCTCATCGGAATCTATGACATTTCATAGCTTTCCCTCCTTTGGTTTCTAAAATAATTGTTCTACATTTAGCCATTCCCACTTGACATTCCTATGACCACTCATGAAAACTAAACTTTGATTTCTTGAATATGAAACCCTGATCTAAATCGAGAGTTTT